TTTCCTTATTCAGTTTGTATTTGATGCCCTCTTTCTGTTTCCTTATTCAGTTTGTATTTGATGCCCTCTTTCTGTTTCCTTATTCAGTTTGTCTCTGATTATCAGCAGTGTTATCAAAACTTTTGCTTAGTGGAATTTCTTTCTTTAAATCCATAGGTTCTTTAATTTTATCTTCTTCTATATCTTGATCTTTGAAATAGATTTCCTCTCCATTTAATTCCTCTTTCTGTATTTCATTCTTTCCATTTTCAGGAACAAACCAATTACCATAGATATCAGCAGGTTTAGTCTCTTCATTTTTCACTTCGGTTTTTTGAGTTTCAAGCACCCCGTTTTGCATTTGATGAACATTTTCAATTTTTTCATCATATTTTCTTGTTATGTGCTCTAGGCATTCCAGTTTTTTCTCTACTATATTTGATAATTTCTATAGTTTTGAAAATATATTTTGCAAAGTCAAGACCCCTATTTTTCCTTGGGATTGTGTCATTCTGACAAACACAGCTACTCTAGCTTGAAAATCAACCAAATTAAAGATTCACAAAGAAGGCTGCTCTCACTTCTCGCTGGTCGAAAGCATACTTCAAAGGGAGGGGGAGCAGCTTTTGTCCTCCCCGCCCTCCTCACTCGGCCGGCTGTCTCTGTCTGGTGCTCCCGAAGGTGCGGAAGGTTTCCCTGGAGGCGGCTGGGCTAGTGCAGCGGTTGGAGCAGGTGGAGTTGCAGCTCTTTGCTTCCAAGCCCATGTGGGGCCACTCCGAAGCCACCAAGGAGAAGCTTGCCCCACTCTCGGTGAGTCCCTTCCCAGCAACTCCCTGCATTCCAGGGACGGCTAGGGAGGAAAGGTGGGCGACTTTCACCCCGCTTGGAGCCCTTAGGTTGAGAGGCTGTTTTGGCAGGAGGAGACGTCCAGGACCTTCCCCCCGGAAGGCCCTGGGCTGTTTCCGAAGACTCGGGAATCTCTCCCAGGTCTTTGTCTGCCCCTTTGCTGAGGGCGGATGGGGCATCGTCAGACGGTTCAAGCCAAAGGTCCTCCCCCCCCCACCAGCTGTTCCTTCCTTGGGCCACTGGGAGCTCCTGGGGCAGCTGAATCTGGGAAGGGCCAAAGCCCAACTGGGGTGGCTTCCCACAGCAGGGAAGGAGCGGGCCCATAGAGGTGCTCCCCTGCCCTGCTTCAGAGGGGGCAGCAACAACGAAAGAATCCAACCCCGTTGAGAAGAGGCACCCCAATCCAGGACAAGAGCCGTCCGGGGCCTCCTCCGTCACCCAGAAGCCCAGGATGGAAAGCCCAGGGCTGGTGGTGGCTGGGGGGCTCCTGGAGCCTCGGGTCAAGATGTCCCCGCCTGCCTGTGCGGCTGCCTCTGGCCCCACTTCTTCCCCTTTGTGGGCTGGGACCCTCCAGAGCGCCTGAATTCGTGCCCTGGGAGGCCTCTAGGCGGTTGCAGGGAAGCTTCTGGGCCAGGCCTGGGCGAGGAAGCTTCTCCCCTCGGCTACAGCAGAACAAGCCACCGCTTCAGTCTTGCCAGGCCATCTCTCTGGGGGGACCTTTTCCCAGCACTGGGAGGGTCTGATCTCCTGCCGGTTCCCTCACGCTACTCTTCCGCCTGGGCTGCCTTTGGGCCTGTCTTCCTCCTCCTCCTCCTCCTCCCCCCCCTCCTCCTCCTCCTCCTCGCAGTGGTGGGAACCTCACCTGGGGGCCTCTTGTGGTTGGGCAGGAACTGTGCAAAGAGATGGAATCCAAGCAGCAAAGGTACCAGCGAGTCCAGGAGAAGCTCCAGCACCTGCTGGCCACCTGCCACCCAAGCGGAGCTTCTACGGCCGAGCACAGCCTGAGGGTCTTGGAGTGGAAGTGGGGCGGCTGCACCAGCCCCCTGCAAGAGCAGAAGGTGGGTGGGCGGGAAGGGGGCTGCGGAGGGCAGGCCTCTCGTCCTGCCTGGGGTCCACCCACGGACCTCCATCCTTCTCCCAGGAGCAGCTCCTCCAAAGCCCGAATATGGCCACTAAGCACCATGCCAGCCTCCAGGGGCTCCTTCGGTGGGCCAAGCCGACCGAGGAGGCCTTGGAGGCCCTGCCTCCTCCCAGCTACATCCTGGACACTGTCGGCAAACAGAGGCGGTGGCAACAGGTCAGCCACAGCCGGCCGGCAAAGGAGGGGGAGCCCCCTGGGTGGCATGGGTGCCCTTGGCATCCTTTGGGAAGCGAAGTCTGCCTGCCATTCCCTGGGCACAGGCCCACTTGGCCCAGGGCAGTCTTGTGTCTGAGGACTCTTATGTGGGGCGCTGCCGAGCTTGCCCTCAAGTGTCCCTCTCCGGTCTTCCAGCGAGAGTCTGGGTGAGATGGGCGTTGAGGAGGAGGACTGGTCCAGGAACCTCCTGGCTCCGCTGTCTGCTTCTTCCTACAGACCTCGGCACAGGGGATGGAAGCCCAGAGCAAGAAGCTGGCAGGGATGGAGGCGGGGGCTGCCTTCCTGACCCAGGACAACGGGGGCAGTACCCAGGAGCGGCTGGCCCAGGTCCTACAGCAAGTGAGCGAGAGGGGGGATGTGCTGGAAGAGGCCCACCAGCAGGCCAAGCAGGTATCTCCCACGAAGACTCCCCAAGGACAGTGGGGGCTGGGGGGCTGGGGAGGGGCAGCCTCGCCCAGGGAGGTTTACAGCAGTGTTGCTCTGGCCTTGCAGTTCGCAGGGTCCTGGCGGCTGCTCCTCAAGTGGATGGACGGATGGGAGGCAGCCTGCCCAGCCCCTGCAGATGCCCCCCCTGCCAAGCAAGAGGACCTCAAGGCCCTTCTGGGACAGCCTGTGAGCCGGGGATGGGGGGAGGCTGCTGCATCAAGTCCATCCCCTCTGTGGAAGCCGCCCCCGTCTCCTGCCCTATCCTGAGTCCGGCAGGGGGAGGCAGGCGGGTCCCTGGGCCAGGCCACGGCCAGCTGCAGCCCCCCCTTCTCTCCGGCTGGCCAAGGCCTTCTCTCCGAATGTCCCTGCAGGGGTTCCAGAGGCGCCTGCGGGCCAAACGCCCCGTCTTTGAGGCCACCTTGCAGCAGGGGGCTCTCCTGCGTGGCCAGGCCCTCCTCCCTGCCGATGGCCAGGAGCTGGAGGCGATGCACAGGGAGCTGAAGGAGTGCTGGGGGGCTCTGTGGAGCTGGGCAGCCGAGAGGTAGGTAGGGGGCAGAGAGGCTGGGGGGTGGGGGGGCTGCTCACCTCTCAGCATCTCTGGGCCACACGGGGTCTCCACTCACTGGCCAAAGCAGGTCCGGCCTTGCTGGGGCAACTAAACCTCTGAAGGTCCCCGCTCTGTGTGTATGTGTGCGTGTGTGTGTGTGTCCATCCCTCGGGGGGGGGGTTCTTGGGGAGAAAGCCCCATTTCCTTGTTGCTCACTGCAGTGCTACTGAGAAGAGGATGTTTTGTGCAGCCGGGAGGTGTGTCCACATTGGCCCGGCCTGGGGGGGGGCAGGGGGTCAGCTGAAGAGCCGGGAGCAGTGCTGGGATACTGACCTGAGGCCTCCCACCCTCACCAAGGCTAGTAGGCCAGGACCAGGGAGAGCGGTTGAGGTGGTCACTCATGGGACCCTTGACTCATGGGGGTCAAGGGTCCCTGGCCCCACATCCAGGCCCCTGGGATTTAAAGGCCCATGTAACGGTTGCGCAGAGGGGCCCAAACCCCTTCTGGATTCCGGTGCTGCTGAATTGGGCGCAGGCCAGCGGGAGCTTGCCCAGAGTGGGTGCTGCTGATGGCTCCAGGGAGCTTCCCTTGGGGCAGGCCTGGACCTTCACCCGAGAGGAGAAGGGGGCACAGATGCCTTGCGGGCGCGTCACTGCTGCCAACCCTTTGCAGGCAGCAGAAGCTGGAGGGCCACCTGCTGTTCTCCGGCTGCTTTGGCGATGCCCTTCAGGGCCTCCTGGACTGGCTTTGTCGGGCCAAGCCCCAGCTGGCTGAGGAGACCCCCGTGTCTGGGGACAGAGACCTGGTGGGCACGCTGATGGGGCAGCATAAGGTGGGTGAGAGTGCCACTACCCGGCACGGGCAAGGCAAGGAGGAGTTGTTTGCATTGCCACTGCTGAGAGGGCCTGGGGCGAGGCGGGCTTGGAGGGCCCGCAGAAGCCCCTGGTGGAGAGGAAGGGGCTGGATGGCTGCGCCACTTGGGTGCCCAGCAGTGAGGCCTCCTCTCTTGCCCCAGCAGGCCTTCCAGACGGAGCTGGGCCGGCGGGCGGTGGCGGTCACGTCGCTGAGGTGCTCCGCGCATGTGTTGGTGCAAGGTGGGAACAGCGTGGATGCCCAGTGGCTGCAGATCCAGACGGAGGAGCTGGAAGACCGCTGGGAACTCCTTGGCCAGCTCTCGGTCTCCCAGCAGAGCCGGCTGGAGGTGGCCCTGAGGCAGGCATGTGGGCCACCCAGGGCAGCGGTGGGAGGAGGACAGCTGTGTAGAAGGCAGAAGCTTCCAGGCGGGGCCTGTGCTGGGACGCAGGATGGGCAGGAGGCTTGCCCCATTCCCTGCCCACCACCCCTTTCCTGAAGCCGAGCAGCTTCCAGGGTGCTTTTGGGTGTCAAGAGGACCCACATTCGGCTCCCCAGAATTGCAGCCCCCTTGATGCCGCCCTCCCTCTCTCCTGCAGGCAGAGGAGTTCCACCGCCTGCTGTCTGCCTTCCTGAGCCGCCTGTCTGGCCTGGAGAAGCAAGTGATGGATGGGGCACCCCCAGAGGAGGAGGAGGAGGAGGAGGCAGCCATAGCCGAGGGCCAGAGCCAGCTGGAGGTCAGGGTGGGGGGCGGGGAGACCCTGCTGCTCTCATCTTGAAGAGTCTCCTACTGAAGGGCCTCCTTTCTGGAGTGGGGGGGGGCTGGCCCCACAGGGAGGTGCTGATGGCCTTGCCCACCGCCGGCAGGAGATGCAGCAGAGCATTCAGTGGCAGCAGCTGGAGCTGGACTGCATCAGCTCTCTGGGCAAGGAGATCCTGAGCACCTGCCACCCCGATGCTGTGGGCACCGTCCAGTCCTGGGTCACCCTTGCCAAGACCCGCTTCCAGAAGGTGAGCAGAGCAGAAGGGGGGAGGGGCCTGTGGGTGCTCTGGGCCTCGTGTGCGCGGCATCCAGCGGGGTAGAGAGAAGGGGGTCTCCTCCCTCACCACGTGCGCCCCTCTCCTGCCCCACATTGCTCTCTCCCTCCTCCTCCTCCTCCTCCTCCCCCAGCTCTGCAGCCAGGTCCAGCAGCAGGAGCAGCGGCTGAAGGGCCAGGCGGCCTCCCTGGCTGCGAACCAGGAGGAGGCAGAGCGGCTCAGCGCCTGGATCACAGCCGCCCAAGAGACTTTGCGCCTGCGGGACCAGGAGCCCCTCCCGGAGGATAAGAGGCAACTGGAGGAAATTGGATGCCAACACGTGGTAGGATAACTTTGCCCTTTCCCTTTGTGCCAGCCCCAGTGGGAGCCAGAAGGGGTTCTGTCCTCCTGCCTGCTGCTAGCCCTTAGCAGTGGGTTGGCTGGGACGTCAGTGACCCCCACTTGCCCCCCGGCCCTTCTTTGACCTTCTGCAGAGGCCTCCCCCTCCCTCCTTGGCAGGGCTGCCAGGGAAGGCCTTCCGCTGGGCAGTGCCTTCTGCCACGCAGTCGAGGGCGCCTCTGGCAGCCAGGGGGCCACAGCCCTGGAGAGCCCGTCTTCCCAATTGGGGCAGGGGGGCACATTTCGGTCAACGGGGGAGGCCCTGTGAGTGTGCGCCAGTGCCCATGCAGGTCTCCTGCTTTCAAGCCCCTGAGTGGGGTTGGAGGGTGGGGCCTCGGCCCCTCAGCAACGGCGCCTGGTTGCCAAGGTCCGAATGGCTGATGGGGACCCCTCCCCCTGCCCCCCAGGTCTTCATGCGGGAGTTGGAGCACAAACAGGCGGAGGTGGAGAAGGTGGCCAAGAGCGGCAGGCGGAGAAGAGCAGCACAAGTGGGCCTGGCGCCTTCTTCCAGCCAGTGGCCTCCTGGTTAGTCAATCCCTGCTCCTTCCACGCCTTTGCTCCGGGCCAGAGGTGGAGCGTCCAGAGCCACTGGCCGCGTGATCCTGCTGAGCGTCCCTCCGTCCCGCTGAGCCCTGTGGAGGGCAAGTGCTAGCTGGAGGCCGAGGGAGGGGAAGAGGAGCGGGCACCTCCAGGGAATCAAGCGATTGGATCGACACCTGACGACTTGGGCAATGAAGCCGCCACCGAAACGCTCCCAAGTCCTCCTCGGTCTAAGAGATTTTAGAAATCTTATCAAACGTTAGAATTAAAGGTGAAACTAATACAACCTAAAAAAGATGAAAAGTGTAGAAAAGAAATAGAAAAGAAAAAATACATAAAGTAATGACCATCACAAGTATAAAGGATTGTAGTCACGGATCATCTGCTCTGAAATAGGAGCATTGGTCTCTTCTTCTGTATTCCATCTCTTTTCTAGAAACGAGGCCTGGTTTTTTCAGTCCTGATCAGCAAACGTCCATTAAGGATGACCAGAGATGGCAGCCTCTCTCTTTTAACCCTCCCTAAATAGGCCAATTTTGCATTCCTTTATTTTTAACAATCTTGATCTCTGATTGCTTCAAATGACGTCCTAGAACTTTTCTCCATTTGGTCCCTTCTTGCAAATCCTTCAATACCTTCAGGAGCCTCTCCGGTAAATCCAGTGCAGGGACGTCGTCCAGGCCCTTCTCTTGTGATTCCTGGACCCCTTTTCACGACGAAGACGGCAGCATCAGCGGTTCCCTTTGCCTGTCCCGCAGGGCATCTTCTCCCAGCTCCCTCTTGTAGCCTGTCATTTTAAAATCCACTTTCAGATCAGCCCCAGTCTTGTCCAGTGTAATTTGATCTCCTCCCTTCACATCTCTTAAACACAGATTATCTGTAAGAACAGACACTTTTCAAATCAATTTCTGGGTCCATTGTTCACAGGTGTCCTTTTATAAATGTAACGTTAAAAGTGTCATTCATTCATTATCATTTATCATGATGATAAATGTAATGTTAAAAGTGTCCCCTCCGTTCTGCCTAATCAAATCACCTTGAATCGTTTTCCTCCTTCCGTTGCAATCTTAAGTTTCTTCTGGTTCCCTCTACGGTCCAATCGTTGAAGTTCCGTTCTTCCACCGTAGGATTTTTTAAAGATTTCAAAACAGCAGTGTTTACCCATCGGAAGGATTCTTATCATTAGTTTCAAAACCTCATTTCAAATCCAGGTGGATCCTTAGTTCATTTGGAACTTTCCAAAAATCAATGTTCTCGTCACCCACATTTAAAACCCCTTTGGTTGAGGATTGAAGGAAACTCACCCGGTGTGGCCTGAGGTGGTGTCACCCCAAAGGTTCCTGAGAGCCGGAAGAGCAGTTAACGAGCAATTCCCAAAAAGGATGACAGGAGGCGTGTATGAGCCCAGTGCCCATAGAGGCACCAACTGAGTGGAAAGGCCTTTCCCTTCTACACCCACCAGAGGGCGCTGTCTTGTGGTCTACGCACGAGCAGCCGCTCTCTGGAGCACTTGTGGGCGATCCCAAGTCCCCTCCTTGCGCAGAGAGGAATTTCGCAGAGCAGGTTTACTCGGTGGCTCTGCCTTCCTTTGTGCTCATTGTCTCTGCTTTTTGCAGAGGTGTCTTTGGTTGACATTTCTTCCCTGGAGGTCCCCCAGGAGAACAAGCCTGCATGGAATAAGCTGAGCGGCTGGGTGCCAGCAATGCCGGAAGATGGCCTGGGGCAGAGATTACCTCGGATGGGAGGAGGGCCCCCTTGCCTCCTGCTTATCCTGGCGTGCTTTTCTGTCCGGACATTGTGAGAAGAGGACAGTGCTGCGCCAATAGCTTGGTTGCCAGGAAGGCAGAGACGGGCTCTCCCTGGAACCCCCCCTGGTCCTGCTGGCTGACCTCCGGGGGGGGGGGGGGGGCTGGAGAAGCTGCAGGGTGGGTGGAGCCGGACCCAAAGCTCTGGGGTCCAGATTCAAGCAGGGAGTGTCGGGAGCCCATGGGGTGGGGATGATGGACCATTAATTGTGGGAGGGGAAAGGGGAATTAAGGGCTGAAGACACGACACTTTCCCCAAATGTGGTTTTCTTTGGAGCCCAAGAGTTTTATTGGTATTTGTAACACGTGTGTTGCTTTATAAGTGTCCCTTTGGAGTATGGTTAAAGGCTGCTCCAGATGCTTCCCTTCCCACCCCTTCTCCAAGTGCTGCACACACCCACACACACACAACCGCAATAGGCTTCTCAGGTGCACCTGCCTCCTCCACAGTGGGAAGGGAGGGGGAGGAAGAAGAGCCCCCTCCCTCCCTCCCTCCCTCCCTTCCTTCCTTCCTTCCTTCCTTCCTTCCTTCCTGCCTCCCTCTCCTTCGCCAGGGGCCTCAGGGCATCCTCCTTTCTGCTTCATGGGCAAAGACTGAGGAAGAGGCTGGGGGACTTTGGACAGTCCTGGGAAGGAGGGGAGCATGAGAGGGACATTTCCTCTCCCCTTCCCCCCCCCCCAGGCTTGTCTAGCGTAAGATGCGGTGGGGAGGGGCTTTCAAGAGCAGGCCTGGGTGCTCTCAAGGGAGAAGGGCAGAGTCTGGAAGCCCCTCGGGGCTTCCTCTCCCTCCATCGTGAACCAAAGAAGAGCTGACTTCTTGAGCCTCCTCCTTGGCCTTCCTTCAGCTCCTTCAGCCTGTGTCCCACCTGCTCGCTCCCTCCCTCCTCTGCCCCACAGCCAACTTACAGGAGGGCAGGTGAGCGGAGCCCTGTGCTGAGACCCAGCTCACAGCTCCCCTTACACTTGCCCCCGGTCTGGCTGCCCTCATCGGCCCCTTGGGGGGGCTGCTCGGGGTTCCCACCTGCCCCCTGCATGCTTTCTCTCCAAAGGCAGCCAGCTGCTTAATAACGGCATGTTTTAGCTGGGATCCTCCCTCCCTCCCTCCCCTTGCAGATTGGCATGGTGCCCGCAGAGCTTTGCCCCGGCCCTCCTCCATGCCCTTGGAAGACCTGCAGCCCCAGGACCCGCTCCTGGCCGAACTAGTGCACCGCTGGCAGTGGCTCTGGGTGGCAGCTCAGGAACGGCAGCATTGGCTACAAAGTGCCCAGCGGCGCCTTCAGGAGGTGAGGATGGCCAACTGCAGCGGGCGAAGAGCCCCCCTGGAGCGGTGGGGCAGATGCAGGGAGGGACCCGAGTCAAGTGGCAAGGTCCCCTGGCAGCCCTGAGACACCCCGGGATCTGGGTGGGAGGCCTGGGCGCTCCTTGGCCACCTCCAGTGGGACTGGGCAGCTGGATGGGGAGCTACGGCACACCAGTCCCCTCCTGGGCCAGCTTCCTCCTCTCTGGGTCCGCCATGGGGATGAGGAGCAAGGGAGGGCACGGGCCCTGCTGGTGGCCTTGCCTCGGGCGTCCTTGTTGGGGTCCTTGCGCCTGGCCCCTGTGGCTAGGTGCGTGCACACTCTGTCTCGCACACAGCTGGAAGAAATGGCCGGCTTCAACTTTGCTGCCTGGCGCAAACGGTTCCTGCAGTGGATTGGCCACAGGAAGTCCCGGGTCCTAGACATCTTCCACAGCATTGACCAAGGCCAAGATGGGCGCATCACCCAGCAGGAGTTTATCAGGCGTGTCCTGGCCTCCAGTGAGTGCCGATCTGGGGCTGCCTTCCTGCAGGGCACACGAGATGTAGGCTGGGGGCCCTCCGTGGGGACAGGCCGAGAGGCCCAGGTTTCCTTGCAGTGGCCGCCCCCCTCGGCCCCTGTGGTGCGTTTGCTTCCCCTCGTGGCTGTTGTGGACATGGCCGGGATGTGGGGGGTGAGGGAGGGGGGAGGTTGGCCTCCTCCACTCCTTCCTTTCCTCTCCAGAGTTCCCCACCAGCCTGCCGGAGATGAAGGCAGTGGCCAAAATCTTTGACGTGAACAGGGACGGTTTCATTGATTATTACGAATTTATCAGCGCTCTGCACCCCAGTCGGGACATCCTGCACCGGGTGGCCAACGTGGACCACATCCAGGAGGAGGTAAGGGGTGTTGCTGCAGACCCCTTTGGAGAGGCAGCTGAGCCCAGGTGGCAGCGCTGGGCATAGGAGTGGGAGGGAAGGGGTGATGCCCAGGAATGTGAATGGATGGCGGGAGGGGTGCAGGGGGTTCCCAGCTGGGATTTCCCAAGTGACGCAGCTGTAAAGCCAGAGCGGACGCCTCTCTTGCCGTTCTCCAGTGCAACTTCATACGGGCAGCTTTTGCTACTCCCTGCCGGCTTCCCAGCTGGATTTTCTCATTGAATCCAGCAATTCAGGTCGGCAAAGGCGACCAAGTGACCACAGGAGGCCATGCTGGGGGCGTTTTGAAGGCCGGTCATAAGAAGCACCCGCTCGGCAGCGGCTGAGTTCCTGTGGTTGCTGAGTGAGAGCAGGCATGGACCTCCAGGATTCCGGCATGGAATTTCCCCGAGAGAAAAGAGAGGCTGGCAACGGGGGGTAGGGGTGGGGCTGAAGTCTGGGCCCCTGCAAAGGCAGGCGTGTCTAGGAGAAATTGGAGGCTCTTCTCCCCCCCCCCAACTGCTTCTCCTTTGTGACCCAGGTGAACCGACAAGTGGCTGAGTGCAACTGTGTGAAGCGTTTCCAAGTGGAGCAAATCAGTGGCAGCCGCTACAGAGTAAGCCCCCCTCCTGCTTTCCTAACCCTGTGCCCTCTGGTTCCCGAGTCTCTTGGCCCTTCCCTCTAAGCCAGGGACCCTGTCAGCTTCCAGTCAGGTTGCTCTAAGCTGGGTCTCTGCCCGGGCTTCTCCTGGCGCTCATTTCTCACACCAGCTCTGCCCTCGGGGTCCGCGAAGGGGGCAGCCGAGCCATGGGGCTCTTCCTCCGCCCTGAGAAGCAGGGACTGAGAGGGAGGCCGCACGAATGGCCTCTGTCAAATGGCCCCTCCTGCTGCTTGTCCAGTTTGGGGAGTGCCAGCAGCTGCGCATGGTCCGGATTCTACGAAGTACCCTGATGGTGCGAGTCGGGGGAGGCTGGACGGCTCTGGACGAGTTCCTGGTGAAGAACGACCCCTGCAGAGGTGAGAGGCTGTTGGGTGCCAGGACCCCAGGAGCAGCCCAAGCAGGATGGGTGTCCGACGGCCTCCCCATCTTGGTGGCTTTCTCTCTCCCAGTCAAGGGAAGGACCAACCTGAAGATCAATGAACGATTCCTCTCCCCGGGACTTCTGGGGCGGAAGGGGGCCGGCAGCCAATCTGCCCCTGCCTCCAAGATCCTCTCCCCCAGCGGTTCCACCTCCAGCCTCAGCCTGTACAGCAGCGCCTCTGCGCCCAGCAGCCCTGTCCCGAGGAAGGTGAGCCGGTTGGAGCGGGCAGCGGGTGGGCAGAGTCCTGGGCTCCCCGAGGCGGCCCTGGCAAATCCTGCAGCCGGCCTCTCCTCCCTCTCCTCCCAGGCTGTTCTGCGCCGGACACGCTCAGGGGATCGGTGCCTCCACTCCTGCAGTCCTGCTGGATCAACCGGGAGGGCCGAGCCAGACTTTGCCGCTGGAGTGGCTGGGCCTGGCGCTGAGCCCCCAGGTGAGAGAGTGGTGCTGGACTCTGTGGCCAGAGGGGCAGACCAGAGGGGCTGACCTCAGCCTGCCAACTGAGAGGCAGGCCGGCCCTTGCCCCAAAGCCTCCAGGGTCATGGCTGCAACCGTCCAGGGGGCACCCGGGTTTGGCAGCCTTGCTTGGGTGGGCTCCTTGAGCAGGATTGCCCCTGTGAAGGGCCTATTTTGTGGGACGCTCTCTCTGCTTCTGTGTAGGTCACCCCAGAAGAGAAGCTGCCCCAGGTGATGTCCCTGCGCCCTGACCGCTGGAGCATCTCCTTCCTCTCTGGGCCCAGGGAGCAGCAGCGGAGGGATCTGAGCAGCCCCCACTGGCACCCAGGCCTTGGGAGGCTAAGCAGGCTGCCCCATCCTTTCCCCACAAGCATCCGTTTCCCTGCTCTCCGCAGCCCTCCCTGGCAACGCAGCTGAGGCTCTCTTGGAGCAAGACCACCCGTCGGAGAGGCACGGTTTGGTGCTCCCACAAGCCAGTTGCCCAGCTAGCTGAGGCCTCCCTCGGGTGAAGCTCCGGTGTTCCTGGGGCAGATTTTGGAAGGAGTGGCGCCTTGCCCTGGCCGAGCACTGTCCCTCTGCAGGCAGGTGGAATCCTGGGGCCAGAGAGAGTACCAGGAGCAATAAAGACAAGGCTTCCTGCCGTCCCCACTGCCTCTGTGTGCACGGTGTGTGAGAGTGCGTGTGTGCATGCGGGGAACCCAGGGGTGCAGAAGCAGCCAGCGGGCTTCATTCCCGGCTGCCCACCGAGAGGCTGCTGAGGTTGGGCTTCCTGGGGCCAGGATGGCTGCCTGCTCTGTGGCCTCACGCAGCCACCAGGGAAGGTGCTGAGGTTGCAACGCAGGGGCCGCCACGGCCTGGGCTGGCAGGTAACCTCCGTGGCCGGGTGTCCAGGGTTTCTAAGCACAGCCCCCTGCCCCAAATTAACTCCTCCAGGCGATGGGGTGAGGGGATGGGGTCTGCAGCAGCCAGAAGTGAAACTCGGGCAGGGAAATGGGAGGGGGGAAGAGTGGAGGGAAGTGAAGGGGATCCTGGTAGGGAAGCCGCTTTGCATCGGGGTCCCAAGTTACAGACCCAAAGCCACCAAAGCTCTCAGTCCCGGAGTTCCCCAAAGCATGAATTCACTGGGAATGTCATCTTGGCACAGCTGGTGAAAATCCGACTCTGAAGTTTTTCCCACCCAAATCAAAAGTTCTTTCCCCCAGGGCACAAGTCCATCCCACAGCCCACTCGGGTCCCAGTCCCAGCTGCCTTTGGCCCCCGCCCCTCCAACCCCTGGTAGAGCGTCCTTGGCTCCCACGGGAAAGGCTGTTTTCACGGCGGCCTCCCTCAGTAACCAAGAAAGAAGCCACTCAACTCCATTTTGCAGAAGCACTTTTACTGGTCATGAGTAGATAGCAGCTAAGCAAAGCAAGATCGGAGGCAAAAGCGCGCGTAATCATAGGTATCAATATGTGACCCAACCCCCTCCCCATGGTAACCCCATCCCACAGTCCAATCCGTACACCCCACAAGTGTCATGCGGGAGACATCTTCAAAAAGCATCATCAGGCTGGTAGGACAGTTGGCCTTGGCGGCAAATCCTCTCTCTGCACACGCGGGCAGTAGATGGTGTGAACAACTCCCTTTTTACAGTCACTCCTGCACTGAATACTCCCCCACCCAAATACCATGCCCCCCCTCCTGTTTCAATGGCAGCGGAAAGCAAGCAGCAAAACAGAGGCTGACACTGTTATTTGGGCTACACATCCATCCCCCCCCCAGCTATCTCTGTCTCCCCCCTCATGTCCCCACAGCTCCAACAGGCCCTGTTGTGGCAGCCCCTCCCAAAAGGGCTTCAGTGCGGACACTTGGCTTCTGCCTTTGGGGGAGGGCTGGCCTCGGTGAAGACCACATGGGACGCCCTCCCTTAACTACCCAATGGCGACCTCACCCATCCCAAGGGAGATGGTTTGAGCTCCTGGCAAAGGAGGAGGCCTCAAAGCCGGCCGAGTGCAGGCAGAGGAGTGGGAGGGGATCCAGGAGAGCATTGCTGGGCCTTGGAGGGAGAGACCCTTTCAGCCCCTTCATAAATGGTCTGGGGGGAGGGCAGAGAGCTGGCTAAACCCGCAGGCCCCCTTGGCCATCGAGGGCCCTGGAAACATAGGGGTGAGCCAAGAGGAGGTCTGGCCTGTAGGGTGTAACCCAGAATGCTGGGGAGGAGGGCCAGGAGGCTGGTGGTCAAACCAGTGAAGCTGTCCTGGAGAGAGTGGACAGCAGCTGCCCCAGGGCAATGGGGAGGGCAGACAAAAGCGCCTCATTAACCCCGGGGGTCCTTTGAGGTGGGCACTGCCTTGGCGGATGGGGAAGCCCTGAGGTCCCAGCAGGGAAATCCAGGGGGCCAGATCCCCGATGGCTCTCCTGAGGACGCCCCTCCGAGCCCGCATCCATTTGTCGCTGCCCTTTTTGAGTGTGGTGCAAGGACTTGAGAAAGGGGTGGGGTGGGGTGAGGGGACCAGTTACTACCTGTGATTGGCAGTTTATGCTGCAGGGAGCAGAACCCAGGAATGACCTTGCCCTCTTTGGCAGCTGCATCACACAGCCACACAACACACACACGGACGGACGGCTGACAAGAGCGCCCCCATCCCTCCACCCCGCCTGCCGGCAGCTCCACCTCAAGCAGGTCGGAACGGCTGGAAGGCGGATTCCAGGCGTTTGAAAGGGAGGCATTTGCCAGCGCAGCTTTCGGGCCTCTTGGCCAATGGGCATATCGGCCTTCATGGAAGGTCGAAAGCTCTTCTTCCGCTGGAGGGACGGAGGCTGCACAGCTCAAAGCAGAAGTTGGAGTGGATTTCGGTCTGCAGACCTTGGGGGGGGTGTGTGTGCTCTGGGGCGGCAGAAAGGGGTCTTGCTTGAAAGGGGTCCAAGGGATTGCAGGCTCCCCGCCCTCCTTTGCTTGCTAAAGGCCGGCAGGGGCCTGGAGGAGCTACGTCCAATGTGTTGGAAGCCGCGTTTTGTCTGTGAGTTTTGTCAGTCTGCGTTGCCTGGGAGGAGACGGCTGCAACTACGCACAAAAGCTCAATCAGCACTTGGACGGGACACCACCAGGCTAGACTCCCGGCCAGGGCAGCGGAGGGAAAAACTTCGCTGGAAAAACTCCCCCCCCCCCCACATTGCGTCCTTGGGCGGAGACAACAAATGTTGGCGGTTCAACCTCAGCTTCTCGGATCAGTTTACATACGTGTTGTGTCACCTTTTCTGTTTACCTTGTTGGGAACAAAGAGGGGCCGATTCAGGGAGGGGCCGGCTCACCACGGCCCAGGCTTGGCAATATGTGCTGCAACTTGCTTCTTTCCCTGGGACTTGGAGAGGTCAGCAGTTGGAGGCAAGGGAGCCCGTTCCCAACGCTGGCATGGCCCGGCACCTCTGCCGACACTTTGTCGTCTGCCATTCATCTGCCGTCATCGTAGCCTCCAGCTTGTTCCCCTGGGCACCCTAAACTGGCCTCTGTTGATGCCTGACAACATCCACTGATTTGAGGGGCCTATTTTATTGGCCAAGAACATCATCAGGACCTCTCCTTGCAGGGGGATTTTGTTATTTTCAGTCACAGACATTTGGGTTCCCCTCGTCCACACAAAGCCATTCATTCCGTGCCCCCAAGACCTGGTCCGGTTCCTGTGGCTGGGTGGGCTGGGCTTGAGCACTTAGCTGCCGCCGCCGCCACAGAGCGTCTGCCTCCAGGCTCTTGGAGGCTCAGCCTTCTCCCCTTCTCTGCTGGCCCTTCCGTCACGATGCTCCTCTGCGCTTTGGCAAGGTTTCCCCCACAAATTCAACAGGGGGGCCGGTTGCTGCCCGTGGCCCAGCGCAGCCTCACCAGAGGTGGACTACGCTGTCCAAGGGGCGCCAACTGCAGGATTGAGGGGGACGGCTGGCACCCTAGAGGGAACAGCGACTTGGGAAGCCCAGCCTGCAGGGGTCTCCTCTGGCCCTATTCCTATTCCTCAGCTCCTCTGCAGCCCCAGCCCCCTTCCAGGCCGCCCTCCTGGGCTTCCCACAAGGGCCAACCAAGCCCACCTCCCCATGGCTGCTGGAAAGGCCCACCAAAGGATGGAGCCCACAGGAGCAGCAGGCAGCCAAGGCATTTGCTGACTTCCCCGCTTGCAGGCAGCAGGTCTGTGGTCCGGGCCTCATTCCCTCGGGCTGGCGGGTCTCGGGAGAGCTGGCTCTGGGCTGGCTGGTTGCCAGCTATCCGGTGGTGGCCCAGAGCTTTCCTTGCCAGACCCGAGGGGGTGATGGGGCTGAACCGCAAGGGCCACCTTCAGCCGGGTCTGCCAAGGTTCCAAGCAACAGCCGGTGTGGGATCAAAACTCCCAAGTCCAGAGGCTTCCTCAAAGTATAGATTTATTAGGCATGTCATATTGGCACAGCTGGTGAAAACCCAACTCTGAAGTTCCCCGGGTTTTCCCCACCCAGTTCAAAATCCAAAGTTCTCTCTCCCCCCCGCCCCCCCATTCCATGCCCCAATCAAGTCTCTTCCCATCCCGGATGCCTCCCGTCCACGCCCCTGCAGGTGCTGGCGAGAGCGGCTCAGGTTCCCAGAAGAAAGGATGTTATTGTGGCTACA